CGATTGGTTTTGGTCCGAAAAAGCTGCGATGCAGCGTTCCTCCTTTATTCCCAATCGAACACTGTTGAACAAGCGATCACGTGCTCCTGCATACACCAGTCACCTGGTCACCGTGCCTGCAGGGTACAACTTACTAGCCTGTTGGACCTTTTTTGAGTGCAGTCCTGTCACTCGAGTTGAACTCGAGTTGAACCTTGGTGTGAAAGTTGTCGCCTGCTGGCGTGGTGACCAGGGGATTTGGGCACCCAGGAGCACGTGACCGCTTGTTCAACCATGTTTGATTGGGAATAAAGGAGGAACGCTGCACCGCAGCCTTTTCGGACCAAAACCAGTCGACTCAGAGCCCAAAAGACTACAACATATGGGCCAATCGTGGTCATCCGTGCTTTTATAAGAACGAAATGACGCTTTTAGTGACATTTTGCATACCAATCCCCATCTAGTAGGGCGCAGTCACCCAGTTTCGGTGGAAGTGCGCGAGTTCGATTGGGATTCAAGTAGGAAGGGAGCGTCTCAGCTTTCTCGGACCAAGAACATTCGACTCAGCACCCCGAAGACTACAACTGGTAAAATTTTAATTTTTGCCTCAACTTCCTCTTTAATTTGATGAGCGCAGTTGCAGCCATAATGACATTTTTGAGTGAGTTATCCTTAATATTATTCGCACGTAACCACTGAATGAGCACACATGGCCCATGCAACATAGAGATTCACGAATTAAGATTTCAAACTACATGTAAATACGCAAGTACATGTTAAGCCTAGTTCACATTCGATGGGGCGCTACGGGACGCGACGTAAAGATCGACGAGAAGCGACGGGACCGTCTGACAGCGTCCAATGTGAATACCAGGAATGGGAAAGAAAATTGTATGTATGAACAGGAGACAGCGTCTTGCGCCGACTACTCCCGATTCATACTTGGACATTTTTTAGCATTTCGAACACTGCGCTTCCCATGATAACTCGCAGAGTGGCTAACATGACTTAAGTTGGATTTTAGCAAGATAAGGTCTGATGTCACGTATGGTATTTAGGATAGTTCAGGAGCGTGACAGACGAACTGCTTTATCATTTCCTGCAGCTATTATTTGACACACCTTTCGAAGCTACTTTTCTGGTGTTCTTGAAAAACTGGTATTGTAAACTTGATTCCGCTTCATTCAAGGAGAAATAATTGAAAGGAAGTCCCGAAAAACAAGAAATTAGGTCCAAACGTCACCCTGTCAAGGACCGTGCCTTATGACTGGCGCCGTTCGCTGTTGAACGATGCAACGACTGCAGCATATCGTGTCGTACGAATCGAACAAGATTTTACAGCTCACCCCAGCCTTTCTGACAGGCCCTTACGTACCGTACTGTCGGCGTTCCGTCGAATGTGAACTAGGCTTTATAACTTTTCAACCTTGGCAGTCCAGTATATGCACATACATGTGCAAGCATTCAGTATGAAGTCACAGGAGAGGCTGTACGCACTGCACTGCATTATGTTCTGCATGAATCCATGAGCATTCAAAAAATTTGAAAAAAGTGAAAACATTCTGGTAGACAACCAAGTTATGCAGAGTTTCGTTTAGTACATGACCCTCATTAAGGTGGCTCACGCCTATTTCAAAAAAATTAACGATTGCTCTGAAAATTTGGTGGGCGGTTGCTCTTAGGTAGTGTATGCAAATGGCGAGTTAAAAAAACGGGGTCTCAATGCTAACTTTTGAGATATAGGCGATGACAATTTCACTAAATTGTCAAATTTGTACAGGATTTGTGATGTATAGCGGACGGGTATTTCATCAAGAACCTGATTTAGAATCTTCCTCATTTTTTGGTTATTGAATGGACTAACTGTGTACATGCCAATGAGAAAATAAAAAACATATGCTTCAATGCTCAATTTCGCCATATAGGCGCAGAATGCCTTTTTGATAAGTTTGCTTTGCTACATGTACATGCACACCTACATATCCCATGTACATGTCCATATACATCTACTCTTCTCTACTAGCCCACCCCAACCCTGCAATACACATTGACACAAGTGTACACACACATACCACACACAAACACACACACAAACACACACACACACGCATACATACAAACACACACATGCATACATGCAAACACACACACACACACACACACACACACACCTGTCCTGTCGAGCCACTACCACTAGGGTCACGTGGGCCCCGGAGGGGCAGCAGAGAGAGAAAGAGCACGTCACCCGGTGGCGCTCCAGACACACACGCGCACACACACACACACACACACACACACACACACACACACACCTTTGGACCTTTGGAAAGCCCATCGCCGAAGGCGATGATAGCTATTAGGCGAGGCAGAACACACACACACACACACACACACACACACACACTACTACTACTACTACTACTACTACTACTACTACTACTACTATGTACAGCTACCCTATCGGGCCACGCCGCTCCCAGAAGCGGGAGACAACGACAAGAAGAGAGAAGAGAAGAGAGAAATCGCAAAGTCAACAATATTTGGCATGGCGTTGCAAGTCCTGTGGCCTTGAGAACCGTCTTTCGCAATGCTTGAATTCATGACGGCAGTTGTTCCTGGCTGCACGTGACATCACACACACACACACACACACACACACACACACACACACACACACACACACACACACACACACACACACACACACACACACACACACACACACACACACACACACACACACACACACACACACACACACACACACACACACACACACACACACACACACACACACACACACACACACTACTACTACTACTACTGCTACTGTAGCATGGTTGCCCAAGGGCCACACCATTCCGAAAGAAGCCGGAGCCGTTGTCAGGAGCAGAAACGGAGATGACGACTCAGGTCACTCTGTCGACGGAACTGACGGCTGCAGCGAGAACAGCGGACACAATATGACGCTCTGTCAGACTTGGTTGCCCGATGGCCACGGTCGCACATGTGACGTCTGAAACCAGGCACTGGCTTGAATTGCCGATTGCATGTCAAACACAAGAGAGAAGCATGGACGCTGAGCGGAATAGATGATGCCGGTGCGGACACTTTCGATGGTTGCAGGGGCAAACAATGATGCACACGCAGGCCACCACGAGAGTGAAACCACCTTCTGCATGTACCACATTGCACAGCACCACGCTGATCCTGGATGGGGAGACTTTGCTCTGCACCACATTTGTGCCTTGTTTGTCACCTGGCTGGCGAAATGACCGATGCCAGATAAGACAGTCCACCCGCCAGGCAGACCTATCCTGACCAACCTCATACCAGGCCAGACAGACAGACAGACACACACACACACACACACGCACAAACGTGCGTGTAAACAGTGACTAAACACACACACACACACACACACACACACAAGGCACACACATGATCGCACGCCTGCAGACCATCGCTCCAATGAAGATAAGATTACTACTTCTTTGCGTAAATATGTTTGAGATAGAGTGTCACTCTTAGATGTGACTGATGCCATCAACCAATGTCAAGGAAAACAATTCACGGTTCGCGTCAGACTCGGCTAGAGGCCGAGTTTTCCGCATCCGTAGGAACACCATCATCCTTCAAGGATCAAGGCGCAGATGCAAGGAAAGAAATTCAAAGAATGTGTTCAATCTTCTTCTGCACACGTAGAAATAGGTTTGGGCATTTTCGATGATTTAGAATGTACGTCGCGTGAATATGACAATGTGACAGAGGCAGCCACAATTTGCTGATTACTGTGCATTGATCTAGCTATATACACTGCAAGTGCACTGTAAATATTGTGTTACATGCACGTAGTTGTGAAGGGAGACAGTGTACATGTACATTCACCAATGACACACCTGTCAGACAGCAGGTTAGGGCTAGTCAAAGTTATGAAGGCACAATATACGATACGAAGGCACAATTTTGCGATGTACTTGAGTTTGTGAATATATAGTGGACTTTGTGTTCACACATACTCTACCAAATTGCCATGCACACCCTTGTAACACACACACACACTTGAGCCTGGGGAGCATGATTGCTGTCAGCCAGTGTTGCTTTCAAATGCTTATTCTCGTCAGGAGTGATGTGAAACACATAGTGTACCGCTGTGATCAAGCCGTGGCAATAACTATAGTAGAGTTCTTGGTGGACAGCGATTACCATAAAGAAATAGTGAGATACTACAGTAGTACCCTCTACTGACACAATGCAACCACGTTGTCCAGTACATGTTCGAATCAAAAATACTTTCGTATATTCGTGACCATTTCAATTTATATTCAAGGGCGACCTCCACAATTCACTGGCTTCAGAGTCGATTGATCATTATAGAACGGCCATTCTTGACAAAATAGTCAGACAAATTTTGCGAAGGATGGCGTTCTACTGTGGAAGGGACTCGCCAAGTAACTATTACTTGAACCAATTCAACGAAAATACAAAATACTCAGGTTTTACACATTCACGTACCCGTCTGTGCCGTCCCCCATTCCTTCCAAGACATCCACATAGACTCCAACGCTTTTATTCTACTCTTTTTCCGAAGCCGACCATGGGCATGGCCAGTGCCTGCTGGAAGGGACATCCCAACACTTCTCTGACAGGTGACAATTTCCACAAGTAAAAAATGCACCTAAAAAAAGTAGCCAAGTGAAGGAGTGAAAAAAAAGAAGAAAAAAGCTCACACTCTAGACTCGAGTACGAGAGTTTCGTACTCAGGCCATCTGCTCGAGCTGGACCCTTCGAAACTGGAGTGCGCTACAAGCTCGCTACGCCAACTCCGCATGCACTTTTCTCGAACGTAGGATGCGCGAGAACCTGCGCAGAAGACGAGTTTAGAAATAGGCGCGAGCCACCTTAATACCTTCCAGTATTCTAGTCCCAGAGATTATGTATTAACGAGGGACGACCTGTATGGATGTTTGCAATGTCCAGCTGTCAAGTGCATCGCTCCAATAGTCGAGGGCGCATGGGCCTCCCCAGCCATTGTGTCATATCCCGGAGCTGTGAACTATAGATGTGCGGTTGGGAAAGTACTCAACGGAGAAGCCAACCCTACATGCACAGCATCTAGGAAGCTCAGTTCTGTTCCCACCTGTTCAGGTATGTACATACTCATTTTAAGATGTGATTTTGACCTTGCTGCATCACCATTGTCCTCTTTATGTTCATGCATGCATGTTTCAATGGTAATACTCACACACTGATACCCAGGAACTACAGCTCGTTCATAAAAAGATGGGCCCTGGCTTTGGCGAGCTCTCGTTCTTGGCAATTTTATCACACATTTTGCAGAGCCGCGAAATTTGAAACATGAAAAGGGGTCCAAAAAGGGCACCTCGACTGGGTCCGAACTGTGCAATGTACATTTGCAAGTAGAGTAAAGCGGCCTGGATTTTCCCAATTCAGTGCTTTTGGAGCAAAACCTTGTTGAAACCCAATTGTTGGTACGGTTTGTTTAGGAGAAATGGACTTCAGAAAAATACTTTTTTTTACAGACAACAGGTACGCGATAAACCCGTACATTTATTTTTGGATTTCCGCCATAGACAGCCGTGAGTCGTACATCAGGGAGTTGCACAAGCCCGGGTTTGTGTCACTCCATGTCACAGATCCACTTACACGATCAGTAGACCCAGGTGCTCGAAGTCCGTACACTTTTACAGTGTGTGTTTGCCGAGCTGAAACTCACACTAGCAATGATCACTTGCCAGAATCCTGCTCGTGGAAGGAATTTATCTTGTCCAAGTTTGCTCTGAGGCCAGGCTCGATTGAACCAGGCCATCTTTCGATCCGATCTGTTCCTCTGGAATTCGCTGATTTTTCATATCAAATTTTGGTGTCGCAGAGGGTCCTCTAAGTCCGTACTGATCAGGGGTGACTCGAAATACACACATTTCTGCTAATTGCTAACTTGCAATCCCTCGGTTACGACGAAAGCACTGAAGCAATATGTTTGGCATGTGCCTCCACCAGTATTTCTTGCAAAAGCGTAGTTTGTCGCCGAAATGCAAGCTGTTTTTAGTCGGCTCAGAGAAGAAGCAGCGGCGCTGTGAAAACCGTGGGAAAACAGCGGTGGAGATGCCAGGAGTGTCTACCTTTCTGCAAGGATTGGTGGTTCTCTGTAAATTCTTCTCCTCTGGCCATTCTCAACTCTAAGCTGGCTCTTGATGATTGAGTGAAGGTCTGTTTGACGCTGTGTCCATTCGAAATCGGTCTTGGCAAAGTTGATTTTTGCATGAAATGTAACCCAAATTGTATTTCGTATGGGCACTCGAAAACCCACTCGTGTGGTATGGGAGTTCTGCTTATCGTAGATCCCTGAAAATTGCTACGCGAGGAGAACATACCACACTGTCCCCTCCATAAAATATTTGAGTCAAATACAATAACAGAACATGACATTATGGGCGTACGAACTTAGGATACCATGTCCGGACTTCGAGCACCTGGGTCTACCGTATATACGTAAAGGAAACCGCGCATATCATGTTTAAATTATCGCTTTACATAAGACCTTGGCGTGTGTTCACCTCCACATCTAACCCTGTGTATGTCACTACAGTTGTATTACCAGCCAAGAATGGTCAGGTATCTTTTCTACAGTCCATTCATTGGAAACTGGCACCCTAACTTGTTCGTGTCTCCCGCACATAACTAGATATCGTGAAAACAATGGTGCATCCTGTGATATCCGTGGGTGAGTACCACCATTGAAACATGCATGCATGGAGACTTGTGAAATTACTCCTTGCCAAATTTAATAAGGTCAGAAATATCCAAGAACAGGGAAATAGAAATTCAGCCAGGTTTTACAAAATTAGGACAGGTATGCCATGGCAAAATGGATCGAGGAGCAGATCCCATTCTTTTCTCACTCACACGTCAGTACTGCACACATACTCACACACACACTCTCTCTCTCTCTCACATACACACACACACACTCACACACACTCATCACAGAATAACAACTGCGGGGGGACAGCCACAGCAAGAAAACAAAAGAACCAGCTTGCAAAGCAAGAAAACAAAAGATGAGGGACTGCGGCGTACCAGTACGCCCAAAACTGTTGGACCTCGGTCCCAGACCTGTTCGTTCGAAAAGAACAACATTTCTTGTTTATTTCGTAAAACTCAGCCAACAAGAAATGAAAACAACCCAGATTGTTGCGATTTTAAGTCGGATTTTGATCCTCAATTCAGCCCATATCGGACTTTCAAAAAGCAAGCGGGCTTTTTCCGATGAATGGTCTGTAGTGCCTGTGGTCCATAGCTGAACTGCTTAGATCTAGATGGTTGAAACAGCTACCTTTTCACAGTATCGCGTTGCTCTGCCTCCACACGACCTGCTGTCTTATAGTTCAGCTCGTGATTGACCACTGATGACCTAGTCGAGGAAGATCGCTTGTACAAGATTGTAAAATCATCGTCGCTGATTTGTGTAACTGCTGTATCTCCTCATCCAATCCCCAACAGTCCGTACGTGCAGCGTACCAGCATTAGCTAACGGCGGGAGCAAGACCACAGAGGTGACTTATTTGGAAAGGGTGAACTTCACATGCAACACAGGATACACCTTGGTACATCACACCTACCCACCCGTCTGTGATGCTGATGGCAATATCCTCTCTAACCAAACCTGTGAGCGTAAGTTACAGTGAGCACATGTGCCTGTGTGTCAATTGATTTCGAAATATGCGCATGGATATTCTAGAAGGACATGGGGCTGTAGGAAGCCTAGCATTATCAGGAAGGATCTCACCTGATCACACTCATTGATATAATCATTATGATGCAAGCATGCTGATGCTACCCTATCCATGCCATAGGTGCAGTAATGTGACTGGTCCTACTTGCACCATTCTAAACTATACTAATGACACCATACTTCCTCTGCAGTCTGCTACCATGAACAACTTGCCTGTTAACTAAGCCTATCATTTTTTATGGATGAGTTTTTGTTGACTATTATTATTTTTTTGAAAGGATAGGGAGAACTTCAAATTCATAGGATCAGTTGGGGAAGTGAACTGCCTGAAAAGAGAAAAAAGATTGAAAACTTGTCAGCGCCTTCTAGGTTCAGCCCGTTCTCATAGTTTAGTGGTTAGAGCATTGCTCATTACAAGCAAGGTGCCGGGTTCGAGTCCTGGTGGGTCTGGCAATTTTTTCTCTTTTAAGACAGTTCACTTCCCCAACTGATCCTATGAATTATTATTATTACTGTAGAAAAGGAAAGGAAATATTGATACGAGTTGAGAGTAACTCTCCATCACTTTAACCAGATACTATATACAGTCAGAAAGTGCAACAACTAGGCACAACACTGGGCACAAAACTAGTCTCGTCATAGTCCAGTAACAATCAACGATCCTTGTTCCGTTGGGACTGTAGCTTGTGCTTGCCTTCCCCTCTTTGGTCTTTCCATAACCTTGAATCTTCTAAGTTGGAAGGCTGTCGGTTAACGCTACGGAGATGTGTTAAAGCTAGGTGTCAGGACGTCGAATGTCTCAGTACTCTGTCAGTTTTGTGCCTAGTTGTTGCACTTTCTGACTGTATATAGTATATGGTTAAAGTGGTGGAGAGTTACTTTCAACTCGTATCTATAATTCCTTTTCCTTTCTACATTTATTATTGGCTCAACATCCGAGTTTCAAATTATTATTATCATTATTATTATTGTGATATGGAAGAAATGATGAACAAAAAATCTGATGAACAAAAAATCTTACTTCGAACTAGTTTTCGGACAACACTCCTCAAGAAGCTAAGTTGGAAGGCTGCCGGTTAACGCTACGGAGATGTGTTGAAGCTAGGTGTCAGGACGTCGAATGTCTCAGGACTCTGTCAGTTTTGTGCCTAGTTGTTGTACTTTCTGACTGTATATTGTATCTGGATAAAGTGATGGAGAGTTACTTTCAACTCGTATCTATAATTCCTTTTCCTTTCTACATTTATTATTGGCTCCACATCCGAGTTTCAAATTATTATTATCATTATTATGATTTGGAAGAAATGATGAACAAAAAAACTTACTTCGAACTAGTTTTCGGACAACACTCTTCAGGAAGCTACGTTGTACTAATAAAAAAACAATCCAGAAATATACGAATAAAGAGAAATGGAGTGAGAAGAAACACCTATGAAAATGATAATCCTAGCACTATTATTAAAGGTAATAACAGGAAAACCTGCGAGAGCACTTAACGAACTTGTAAGGACTACTAGTATACTGTGATTATTATTACTATTATTAAAAGTATACAAATAACCTACGTGGAGATAGCAATTTTAGTATAGCTATGAATAGGTTGAAGGCCTCAGACATCACGCAACTACGTTACTGGTTTGACATGTATTACTGTGTATTTTATAACAAAATTTTGTTGTAAAAGTTTGTATACATATTCATAAGCCTGTTTTGTGTAAGCAGAAAGAGGACGTTGTGGCACTAAAGTTGTATTCGTAGGTTGGCACTTCGTTCAGTGCCTTCCCGCCTTTGGTTATGTAATCTTGTTACCTTTTTTGCGTTTCCTCTAGTGGTTTTATTGCACTTGTATCTTGATGTTATTTCTAACACCTTTCTATTTACAGTACTTAACTTCAGTTTCTTTGGTTGTATCCTTAGTTCCGTTTTTCCCACTGATGATAGGAACGAGAAAATCGATTCTGGGTTTTCAATAATATTTTTGTTATAAAATACACAGTAATACATGTCAAACAAGTAACGTAGTTGCGTGATGTCTGCGGCCTTCATCCTATTCATAGCTATATTAAAATTATTAAAAGTAGAAAAGAAAAGGACATATGGAAACGAGTTAAGAGTAACTCTCCACCACTGTAACTAGATATTATATACAGTCAGAAAGTGCAACAACTAGGCACAAAACTGACAGAGTACTGAGACATTCGTTCTCGTTCTCGTTCTCGCTAAGCTTCCCCCTTCTTTACTTATCTTTGATATTTATGACCCATCCAAGTTGGGTGGTGTGCTGCTTTGCTGCTTCGAATTGTAGTTAGACCGCTTTGTCAAATCGCCTACTGGTCTCGTGATCGTCCAGTAACAATCGACATTCCTTGTTCCGTTGGGACTGTAGCTTGTGCTCATTTTCGTTGCGCTTGCCTTCCCCTCTTTGGTCTTTCCATAACCTTGAGCCTTCTTAGTTGGAAGGCTGTCGGTTAGCGCTATGGAGATTGTGTTGAAGCTAGGTGTGAGGACGTCGAATGTCTCAGTACTCTGTCAGTTTTGTGCCTAGTTGTTGCACTTTCTGACTGTACATAGCATCTACTTCAAAGTAGTTACAGTGGTGGAGAGTTACTTTTAACTCGTTTCAATATGTCCTTTTCCTTTCTACTTTTATTATTGGTTTCAAATTATTATAAACTAAATGTAGAAAGGAAAAGAACATATTATACGAGTTAAGAGTAACTCTCCCTCACTTTAACCAGATACTATATACAGTCAGAAAGTGCAACAATTAGGCAAGAAACTGACAGAGTTCTGAGACATTACACTGTCAGTTCTGTGCGTAGTTGTTGCACTTTCCATAGTATCTGGGTAAAGTGATGGAGAGTTACTCTTAACTCGTTTCAATATGTCCTTTTCCTTTCTACTATTATTAATGGCTTCAAATTATTATTAACTAAATGTAGAAATGTGGAAGAGAAAAAGACATATGGATACGTATCCATATGTCTTTTTCTCTTCCACATTTATTTATGGCTCAACATCCGAGTTTTAAATGTAGAAAGGAAAAGAACATATTATACGAGTTAAGAGAAACTCTCCCTCACTTTAACCAGATACTGTATACAGTCAGAAAGTGCAACAACTCGGCACAAAACTGACAGAGTTCTGAGACATTACTCTGTCAGTTCTGTGCCTAGTTGTTGCACTTTCTATAGTATCTGGTTAAAGTGATGGAGAGTTTCTCTTAACTCGTATAAATATATAGGCGACGAGGAGAATAAATTTATACAAGCGATAAATAGTATAAGCGAAGCGGACATTACGAAACGATCAATGAGAATACATGTATGCTAAAGTTGATGATAGTCTCAAGAAAATGGATAAGGAACATCAATTTTAGCATACATGTATTCTCATTGATCATTTCGTAATATCCGCTTCGCTTATACTATTTATGGCTTGTATAAATATGTCCTTTTCCTTTATTCACTTATTAACTTAGCCTAACTATACTTGCAGAAGGGCATGTTTGCAAATTATATTGACTCTGATTAGTTCAATTTGCTGTAGCTGCAATTGAACTAACCAGAGTCGGGATCATTTGCAAACATGCCCTCCTGCAAGTATAGTTAGGCTTAGTTAACAGGCAAGTTATTATTTCTAGCAGACTCCAGAGGAAGTATGGCGTCATTAGTTTAGTTTAGAATTTTGTTTTGATGTTTGCCCCATTGCAGGATATAATGGATTAAACGGGAATGCAACCTGCAAGGCAACTGGTACAATTCTCCGAATCTCAGACGAAATGTACAATTTTCAAAGTGCCAAGGCCCTTTGCCATAAACATAAGGGAAAGCTTTTGAGCCACGAAGCATTTCACAGTGGCTGCGCATCTGCTTTGCTCGCCAATGGCATGCGGGTCTGGATGGAATTTGAATCAAATGCGGATTTGCTAATGGTGCTAGTAAACACTGGGCGTTGGGAACCTGTCCATCACTCAATGAACGTCGTATGTGAAGTGTGTAAGTAATTTTGTATTAATATTTTTATTGTTCAACCCTCATTCCATGTTGACTTTTTTCCTACGTTCCCAGTATAATTATTGGGGTTCTTTTGGACCCTAGGAACGTTTTGGGTGGTATTCTTGCACACTCTCCATTGTATGGAAACAAAACTGCTGTGCTACGTTTCCATAGACCAATGCATTGACCAAAACCTGCATTTGTTGACAACTCTGAAGTTTGTCGGGATTATTTGCAAGTTTGCGAGATTACCACCCAAAACGTCCCTGGGGCCAAAACGGAGTCTCTAATATACTGGGAACGTCGGGAAAAGTCAACATGGAATGAGGGATTATGGCTGTAGAAGAATATTTTTATTGTAGGGCCTCATACTTCAGTGGATCTCTTCCGTGTATTCGGTGACCATCGAGATAAATACCAAAACTATCGCAATTGTTGCACTTCCCTGTGTTCTATGTTACTGGGGTCCATTTGGACCCGGCCCGCATTTTCCGTAATAAAATCCATCACGAACTTCTAACCCAGACTATTCATTTATCTCGGTTATTGTATTGTGGAGGAATACATGAATTTTCAGGGAGATGTGAAGCGGCAAAGTAAAAATATTTCAAAAATCATACCCTTGGGGTCCGTTTGGACCCCACAACCCGGAATGAGGGTTAAGGATTCCCAAGGCCGTTGATTAGACATTCCACGGTAAGGAAGTGAGCTAGAGCACTGCTCCATTAAGTGAGCTTGAGCACTGTATTTTACACTGCCGATTGGAACTAGAAAATTGATTCTGGAAATGAGAACATCTACATCTTTTGCCAGTTGTCATGTTGTGTCTTGATGTCTGCAGCATTAATACTTTTTTTAGAGCTCTAATAAAAACAGTGATGAGCAATAGGCAAGCAAAGAAAGGGATAGAGAAGTACTCTAGAGGAGAGTTCCACGCTTGAACCTCTACTGCGTCTTGTGCGCCAACACAACTTAGCACTGACATCATCCCTAAACAGAGTAAGCCTATGCAGGTATGATACATTTTTAAGTGACATTGCGAAATAGCCAGATTTCAAGGGCTAACTGGTTATAGTATCTCAGAGCCAGGCACCACAAGACATTCCGAAGTTTTCGTATTTTCGCATCCAAAATTTTCTTCCTTTTCTGATCACGATGCCATCACTTATTCGTCTGATTTGTCCTGTTCAGTTCTCCAAGAACGTACCTGTGCACGGTACAATCTGGCTATCCATCCTATTGCAAACTCTGCAAAGGAAGATGCCGTATCAATGTGTCGTGAATACGGAATGCAAGTACTCAGGGAGAAATGGGCCAATAAGTTGGAATCGAAAGAGTGTTTCCAGGTAAGAACACACCATTATAGAAGTATTTGTACAAACCATGTTGTTGAAAAGTGCTCAATGCCACGAGTGTAGAGCCAAAAAAGTGAGAAATTGTTATAGAAAAGAAATTGTTAAATGGTGTAAAATTATCTTATACATCGAAGTCTATCTTGGAATAATCGGCGAGGATACAAACACTGCAGTATCCGGATAAAGAATTTAAAATGGTCAACGCGCTCATCAGCAGGCACAATGGAGCAGTTGAGTTTGGCATTCATCAGCAATAGCCTTAGCCCTTTCCATGCCAGCATGTTTTCCTGTATTTGCCACGCATTGTTCAGGCGCTGAGCTCACCTGTTCAAAGCTGCACACTCACCTCAGAACGAAATGTATTGCTATTTCACTGCACAGTACGTATCGCCTATAAGGTTGGCGGCTATAGTAATATACCGGATAATTATAGTAATCAATTTCTCAAATTCATTTTCATTTGCCATAACTAAGTATACACAGTTATCGCGTATAGTAATAATCGTCTATAGTAATATATCGCCTATAGTGATCAAATTCTTATTTAAAAAAAAAGACCTTTATTACATTATTTTTGCATCGATTACAGTGATTAATTTAAAATCAAGTGGTGTCAGAGGAGAACAGGGTGTTACTTCTTCGTGAAGAACTAACTTGTCCAGTGTTGTTTGAGTTCTGCTTGTACAAGTTGGCAAATATGCCTCCATCGCGAGGAAATGCTGATGTTGTGTGACATTACCTGCCTGATGATCGTAGTAATACGTGAAACTCAGAGTTGTAACAAAGCTTCACTTCTCTCTCTTGTGTACCATTGTTTTATTATTAATTGCATTTTCACGTCAATGTCAGAAAATTCTACATCATAAATGCCCACAGATTCGCATACGCTCAATGGATATGGGAAGAGGACAACCAACAACAGACAACACAACAAGGGTCAAGAAAAGCAGACCAATAGCTAGCACGAGGCACAACGCCAAGGCCCGGGAGGCAGAGTATTGCCACAAACGACAGTTTTAAACAGACAAATAAATGCCAGAGCAAATGATTGTTGCACTGTGCCGGAAGAACGACAGAGTTCACAGAACTATGGGATCCCTGACGCTAGCCGCAGACGGAGCAGCACAAGGCAGCCCACTGTCCGCGGTCCCGCCACAAGCCTCTGAGAGACTGCAGGCCAGAAAAGTCTGTGAAGCCTTGCCTCCATTCATTCGGGAGGTCGTGTGGGATAACAACAGGCAGTATCTATTGCTACCATTACCTACGTGAATACTGCAATAAATAAACCTATATGCGTACTCATCCATTGCCCGTCGTCAAGTTACGATGGGCAGTGGAACTACTGTAGTACCATCACTGTTCAGCTGGCAGGATTGCACTTTCCAGCCGGCGCAATTAGATCTGTCATTGGTCGACTCCAAGACGACAGTCATGTGACATACGGGAAGTAAATGAGATGCATAACATAACAATCGAAACGAAGGATATAACATTCGATGCTACTTGTATCTTGTTGCCCACTCCATACAGAACGAACTAAGAAAGCTTCAAATTGCTGGTGTCCAGAATGTCTGGGTATGGAAGAAGCAGGTTGACAGATTTCTGGAGTACAATGTACAGACTAAAACCACCCAGGCACCTGCACAGACTCTGAATGCCTACATATGTGCTAGTAAAGGTAAGATCATGGTCAGGTGTTTTCCCTCCTGCTCATTCTCTTTCGCCCTCTCCTCTTCTAAATCGTCTACTTGTGAGAAGGCAGCTATGCCTGTTTGATTGAACGACAATTATTAAATCCATACATCTTCACTCTCCAAACGGTCTCCGGGCTACACCAATCACTAAAAGAAAAAGAGATATTGCATCCCACCCGCCTGTGTGGATTCACAGGAAGTGTGAGTTACGAAGTCTGAAGAAAACATTGAACGGTCTCTGCTTGGATGACGACTACACCATAGCTCAGTGTTTAGAGCATCGCTGGCTACAAGCGAGGGTCCCTGGTTCGAGTCCTGGTGGTGACAGTCAATTTTTTCTTCAGACTTTTCCCGTTTGTCTCTTTCCCTCAAAACCAGTTAAGATATTAAATTATTATACGAATTTTCAGGCAAGGCCTGGCCAATCTTCAGGAATTCCTGAAGATGGGCCTTGCCTGAAAAATATCTATTGTTCTTTTAGTGATTGGTGTAGCCCAGAGACCGTTTGAAGAGTGTCGTGAAGATGCATGGATATAGTGGATGGCTACAGTGGAGTCTTCGTATTTTGAGAAAAGGCAATAAATAAAAGCACAAAAAACAAACAAACAAACAAACAAACAGGTAGGAGGATAGTGTGAAAATCAAGTAGATCATTTAAAATTCTCTTTTACGATAACTCTTACAAGGGTGGTGGCGTTCCCACGGCGGATGCGGAAAACTCGGCTTCCAGCCGAGTCTCACGCGAACCGTGAAATTTATTATGTATTTGTTTACGATAACATATTTGAGCTCAGCTATAATCCTCAAGAGGTATTGCCCTCAACAGTATACCACCATCGTCAGTGAAGGTATCACTAACATTATCCCGGTTTAGTTAGCACAGTGATTTGCACTAGGGTCTTCTAGTCTGCTCAGCCCTGATCGTCGAACCTCATTTATGCAGGCAGGCAGACAGGCAGGCAGGCAGAAATACAGAAAGACAGATAGAATGAGAACCTGTGCTGATGTCCTATAATTAAGATGCAAAAGCAACTGTGTGCTTTCAGAGTGTATGGTTCAGAGCGTTCACTGCCGGATATGAGTATCTTTGGTTCAAATATTTCCCTCAAGATGCCACCGCCTTTAATTGGCGGGTTAAGAGGCCTGTGATTTTTTTTGAATTGTATTGTATTTCATTATCTTACGTGGGCATTCCCAACAGCGAGCTGTATAAACGCACCAATTCCCAGCCCCTGGGGGAAACCATTGTGAGAGCAAGGTGGTGGCTCTTTGGCCATGTTCTGAGGCTAGACGACGATGTACCAGCACGAGTTATGATGGCAGCATACTTCGAAAACCCAAGTTCCGCTGCCACCTGGCGGGGCCGGCCACGTACCACTCTGCCACTGAGTCTGCACCAGAACCTGCAGCGTATCGGGGGGTCACTCAAGAGACGCGAGGAACTTGAGAACCTCCATGCCATCGCCCAGTCACGACAAGACTGGAAAGACCTATGCAGCAATGTGATAAAAGCATACATATCAAGGCCTAATACTGCTTCCACCTGTGGCAGCTACATGCCTGTACGGTGTACCATAACATTACTCATTGACTAACATATTATTTTCGTGAACCAAATTATCCTGTAAAAGAATAGGAATATAAACAACATACCTGTGAAAACACAACATCGAACAGTTGGCTCGATCGACCAGCACACGGGCTGGACTTCGTTCTTGACGATAAATGTACGCGTGGAGGTCAAGTCCGGCGTGACGTCACTCGGTACTTCGGGACAATTTTGGGCACCTTCTTTTCAAGTTTTCACCCACTTCCAGCCATCGCAGAGAAAAACGAATAACACCATCGTGATCAGGAGCCAAAGAACTACAAGATAAGACAAAGAAAATTTTTGGTGACAGTTCCCCTTTAATGCTACTAACACAACCTGAGACTACAATAATCATGAGATCAACCCCAAAACATTTCTTGCAGTTTACTTTCGTAGAGTTTGCGACCTTGTGTTCCTCAAACACAACTTGCAGCTTTCTTGAAAAATACCCTCAACCTTGGTTCTGTCCTAGATCGTGTAAGGATCGTCGCAAAAGTTTTCTTTCGTCCCTGAAACAAACATCGTTCATTTCGTACTTGGACCCCCTCCCCTCCCTCTGAAACGAACTCAGCTTGCTATACTGGACGACGAAATCGCATGCATGTACATGTCATGTGTGCGATTTTGGCTCGCACCCGCTCCCCCCCCCCCCCCCCCCCAATGAATCATGTTCGTTTCAGGGACGACAAAAAACTTTTGCGACGACCCCTAATGCAGTCATTGTTTCGTCTCATCATCATGGAGCAGCTTATGCGAAGGCTAGCCAAGCTTGCTTGGCGACGTCAACATGGAAAAGCCTATAATAATAATAATAATAATAATAAGAATAAGAATAATTCCCAACCGACCCTAAGGTCTTCTTACAGGGTGCCCAAGATGAATGAATTTGCGATGTGATAATTGAATCAGTATTCAAACAGTAAAGGGTTAAAACTAGTGCTCAAAGGAGTAAACCAAGTACTTGAGTACCTACTCGTGGAATTCTCGACTCGAATTCAAAAGTAGACTTGATGCTGCATAACTCACACACGCACACACACACACACACACACACACACACACACACACACACACACACACACACAAACACACACACCATTGGACCATTGGATGCTCATCGCCGGAGGCGATGATAGTGATGCTACAGCAGAAGCCATAGCAGCTTGTGCTGGGATTGCACCATTCAACAGCTTGCAAGGCTGAAGAATTGACCGCCACTATTCACCCTGGTCTACACCACACAGCTATGAAGTGGCTTTTTCTGGCCAGTGAATCCCTACTTTTTGGTCTTTTTCATTTTTTTACATACACATACCCACACACCCACGCACACCCACACTCCAACGTACACGCACACACACACGCCTTGACCTTGACCTTGTGTACAGCTGCCAGTAACTGGCTATGCCGCCCCGATGCGGGGGAGGAGAGGAGAGCGTGCAACACACACAGACACACAAACACACACCCACGCACACCCACGCATACCCACACAGCCACGAACACCCACACACCCACGCACACCCACACACCCACGCACCCCTCCCCCACACCCACACGCCCACGCACATACACACCTTGACCTTGACCTTGTGTACAGCTGCCAGTAACTGGCTATGCCGCCCCAATGCAGGGGAGGAGAGGAGAGCGTGCAACACACACACACACACACACACACACACACACACACACACACACACACACACACACACACACACACAAACACACATACACACACACAAACACACATACACACACACAAACACACACACATATACACACACACACATACACACACACACATACACACACATACACACACACACATGTATAGTGGACGTTTTTAACACTGTGTGTGTGCTTGACTTCCCTATTCTGTGTCATGTTTTTGATCCTCTATCTACAGTCCATGAGTACTAGAGAGCTCCAACGACGGACCCACGTTAGGATAGTTGCCTGTCATTTTCATGTTCCACGTCCAGTCTCCTGAATGTGTGCTGCTGCAGCTGGTGTACAGGTGGCACTGCTGTGGCATAAAACCTGCTTTGCGGAGCTTTGGTGTCTATGTTGCTTAGGAAAACTTGTATGCACGTGCTCAGCAGATTTTTTTCTCCTCTTTTTCGTTTTTTTTTGCGGGTTCTCATTTGGTCCTGCACCCTTCTCTTTGTTCGATTTGTGCATTGTTTCGTTTTGTCCATGGCCATCACTATGACTCCTGACAGCGAAGACTGGAATGTTAGATAATCCTACAGATTCTAGATTAGTGTGAAAACAGAGAGCATACTTGAGTGAATTGACTTGCCTTCAAGAGATTTATGTAGGCAAATTTTGTTCCGGTTGGACTCACATGTGGACAACATCATTCGCAGATGAATCTATATACAAATTTATATTTACAAAAATCTGGTGCTGGTGAATCGTGTGGTGATGTCAGTGGTGGTGTTGGTGGTGGTGCTCGTGCTGCTCGTGGTGCTTGTGGTGCTAGTGGTGCTCGTGGTGCTCGTGGTGCTCGTGGTGCGCGTGGTGCTTATGGTGCTCGTGGTGCTTGTGTTGGCGGCGGAAGCGGCGGTGGTTGTGGTGGTCTACTAGCAACTATTGAAGTACCTTTATTTTTTATAGTTCGCCTAATTGTGAAATTTTACAAATTGTTAAAATAGGAAAGGGCGAGCTCCAGTCTGGGGAGAAAACCCTTTTCTATTTTTTTTTTGTGAAATGGCCTTACAGAGAAGAATATTTAGATGATATCAAGAGTACGTAGGGGTTATGTACTCTTGATAATATTTTAAGGAGATTCCCGGGCCCGGCCCTCCCGCACCAAAGTCGAGCCGGTGCCAATTTGTTTTGGAACAGTTCATATACCGGTACATGTACAGTACTGATCGTGCGAGTAGATCTGTGACATGGAGTCACACAAACTCGGGTGTGTACGTATTTAGAAAAGCGATCCTGTCAGCTTTTCTATTATTGTGTTCACATGGCAGAAAAAACGACACCGCTATGCTACGTAAGTTTCTACGTAAGGTGCTCGGTACTTCACTTAGGCTACGTAAGTTTCTACGTAAGGTGCTCGGTATTAGATCTACCAACGGGTGGTAGCCGCGTGCTGTGCACGTGCACGGCAGACATTGTGTTGCATGCAATGCAGTCCGTTTTCGGATGTGCATGCGCGAGGAACTTCCTTCTTTGGAACTGCTTCTTGCATGAGCTGTTTCGGATATTTCGTGTCCTGGCTTATTTCGCTTCGGCTCTGCTGAGACCTCTTTTCACGGAATATTACTCAATGACAGGTGAGTTGACCAGTTCCCTTTGATTCATTTGCTTGTGTTGACTCTTTCATTTACGAAAAGTGTGCTGATTTTAGGTGGAATACAATAAATAATGGAAAAGCTGACA